TGAAAGAGCTGATGAACTCGCAAAACAGGAATCCTCTTTCAATCCAATCGGAACGGAACCCTTCTGTGGAATCAATATGAAGACTACAAAGAAGGCCGTCCTAAAAGTCTGACCATAAGTCCTAAAGGCCATATCTGACAAGCTCAAGCAAAGAAGAAGATGAGTGTATCAAAATTCATATTTTCAAAAGTTGCATAAAAGTTTTGTCAAGCTGTAAAATTTACTTTTTCTTAAGTAATCTAAGATTCTGATTGGTAACTTCTGCATTCGAAGAACTTTTGTTTCAATGCATTTGAAGAAAGTAGAGGGGAAAACCCACTGTGACTTAGTTTTGAAAAGTTATCAGATAAAAACAAAAATGTAGGCGACAACATTAATTATGCTTAACCAGTTGTTGGTGCAAACATAAAGTTAAAAACTGTAAAAAATAAGCAGTAAAACAATTCTGTTCAATTTTTCACTTCAAGATAAGTTGCTCTGTAAAATGAAAATGTCTTATCTGTAAAGAGAATGCAAATCATAGATATTTGGTACGAATCGAAATAACAATCGAGTTTATTCATACTGTTGTAATGTGAAATACTTAACAAATAGGTGATGGCTGTTTATAGAAATACAGACTTCTACCCCAGAACTTAACTGAAAAATAACTATTATTGGTCATCAACAACCCCGTTTTGAAGAATCTAAATTGTTTGTTGTTAATTGTTGAATTAATTGTTTTGAAGAACCATCAATGTTAAAATTGCTAGAGTATTTAATAAAAAAAATTAAAAAAGGGGTCTAGTTTGCATTCATTCTTATTTACTACAAAAGAGTAACTTACTACTAAAATTTGGGGCAAGTAACTTCATCCCCAATCCTCGCATCAAAACACTAGTGAGATAAAATTGGAAAGCTTTTCTCCCCTACATAACTTGCCGATTAGGACTCATTTTATTGCACAATATTAGTTTTCAAATAAGTATTTTTTGTACTCTTAGCTGTAAAAAATCAAATACAAAATATTTATATAATAAACAGTTAATATGATGCATAAAAGCATTTGAACTTACATTAAAATATTTGAAAATCCCCATTGTTTTTAATTTTTGAACCAGTAAAACAGTCTAGTTTTTCTAATTCTAATCTTGCAATAATTTTTTAAAAATGTTCTAAATTATTCATCTTAAACTCGTGGGAATTATTATGATAGCTTATTTGAAATATTTAGAAGACTTTTTTTTAATCAATTCATATTTGTGAGTGTTTTGCAATGTCAAAAAAAAAAATGTTAATGTATTTAAAAATGATTTAATTTATCAGCATTTACATTTGAGCAGTTTTAGATTTTGATAGTTCTCAGGCTCTTTCCATTAAGGTCTAAAATTTTATATTTTACAAGTAATACAAGCTTTCATTTTACATCAAAATTCTTAATGAAAAATAATCTTCATAAGATGTTATAAAATTTGGTTTAAGGATTTTTCATATTGTTTGAGTCAGAAAAAAAATTATGAATACCTACTTTAGAAGCTGAAAGGAAAAGTATATCTTTTTTCAACAAAGTTATTCTTAATTAAGTTCTTTAGAACAGATTATTTTTTAAAATTATGATCAAAATTTAGTTATAGCTTAGCTATAGCTGTTGAAGTTGCGGTTCCAACAATATGAAATTATCAAATTACTGGTATCAAATTTTTGTCCTGATTTTTTTTCATTCAATTATTTAAGACCAGTTATCCAATTTATTAAAAGCAAATAGAAAGAATAACAACTTTACTGTCTTGGTCTGGACAAAGGGGACATTCAGAATAACTCACTTTTAGTGGTCAACTTCCTCCAGGTCATGAATTTCATGGACATTGTCTAGCCCTGCTAACTTTGGGGATAAGGAAGAAGAAGATAACAACTTTAAATGCTTGCATTAGTTTTTAATATTAAGAAAGTGGACAAGATTTGAAAATTCTTTATTTGTATATTTACACAACAAACAAAAAGAATGAAAAACAACTATACTTTAAAATACTAATTTAAGGTATAAAAAAATCGAAACAAATTTAAGTTATTATTCCTTTTTACAATTTGACCCTTCAAATGACAAGAAATATTAATTCTAACTACACTCTTTCATATTCTTTACATTTATCACAACTCTAGTATTCCAAACAGGATAGGAAAATAGTTTTCATTTATAATTACATTCATAACTACCAATTGAAGGGTGACATCAATACTAAATTTATTAAAATTTCAATAAACTTAACTGCTCTTAACAATAATATTTGTATCATAAGACACTATGAAAATAAATTTATTTACATCCTTATTACATTAATCTTATATGGAATAAGTTAATTTTCTCACTTTCTTCCACAAATGATATAATTTTCAGAAGCTCAATTGCAACGTATGATAACTCATTAAATATGTAACAAATCAAGAAAAATGATACAGATATAACAGAAAATCATAATTTTCAAAATTTCGATTACAAGTTATAAGAATTCTTTAACAGTCTAACAAATAAAGAATACAGCCATACTAAACTGAATTAGAAGCTGAATTGCAACATATGTTAATTAAATTTAAAATCAATCAAGATTAAAAACCTCAACTTAATACCCAAAGAGACTTTTAAATATTTTCTAATAATATTCAAAAGACTTAAGGGACATATCTCTGAATAAATAACACGTTAACCATACATATAAACTCTTTTACTTAAATTTTAAAATAATGCTTTTAAAACATTTATATCTTAAGTCAATATTATATCTATTTTGTAGTTTTATTATATTTCTATTATATAATTTTTATGCTATGTTTTGCTTAAATTTATTAATAAGCACCTCAAAAACAAATCAGCCTTAAGAACTTATTTAGTCTTTATATCTAATGTTACAAAATTTTAATTTGTAGCTTTAGCTAAATATTTTATATCCTACTCTTTCAAATTATTCTGAGAAACAAAAGTTGTTGTTTTTTAAAGTGCTGGGATTAATTTCTAGAATGATAAATTTCAAACTATACTGCTATTTGAATTTCAAAAACAGCTTATTATACACACCAAAATTCACTATTAACATTTAAAAAAAAATGATAACATTATACGATTACTTTAACGCTGAGTACGAAGAGAGTTCTAAAAAGAAATAATACAAACCATAGAGAAATAATAAATTAATGCTTATTTAAAACAGTAACAGTTAAGTTTAAACTATTAAGTACAATGGAATGTTTACTTTCATAAAACACAAAACAAGTGAAAAATAGTACATTCTTTTAGAAAGGTTATATTAAGAGAAAAATTTATAACACATAAAATATTATAAGTTGAGGGTAAGCAAAAACTTCACAAGAATTGTAAAGCAAAATATTTTATATCCATATTTAAGATGTAGAGTACTCTATATGGGAAACATAAATATAAATTTGCATGGAACTCTATAAAAAAATAAAGAAAATTTCCATAAAGGCAAGAAAAAAAAGATCAAATTTAATAATGAAAAAATTATTTAGATTTCTAAATGGCACTGCATGGTGATTTAAAGACAATATATTTAAATATACGATTGAGAAAATATCACATAAAAATCATTAGGGAGAAAAAGTGTGAATGTATATATTTTTAACTTCAGAATACAAAAAGAAGCTTTCATTTTGAATTATTGAGGGACGAAAAAATAGATTACACATGAAAACAATATGCTGCAATTTAGTGAGGAATTATATTAAAAATGATTTGAAATCACTAGAAACAAGTTTACAAATAGCAATTAAATTTTTTTTTGATTAGTAACATGACTAAATTCTATAGTTTGAAAGAATATGCCAAGTATTTTTAAATAAATAATTTCTACCTTAACAACAGTCAAGAAAAAAAAAAGCAATAACAAACTCATTAAGCGATTGCTAAGAAACTATATCATTTAATCAGCTCATACAAAGCTTGATTTTTAAAAATAACATTCAAATAATTATCCATCTTTAGGATAAAACATTAAATACTAAGGCAGAAAATAGTATTTAAGTACTCTTCAAATATTTTTTAATAAGTTCCAATTTTAGGAAACATGTGCTTTGACATATGTAGTACATTTTGGCACAGGATAAATACTTAGAAAAATGGAAGTTTCATTAAAGTTATATTTATAGAAAAAAATTAAATTACAAAAAAAAATGTAACAAATATAAAGTGTATTTTGATCAAATGACTAGCATGAAGGAGCATGCATTACTGAAACAATAAGACAGATTAAATGTAACGCAATAAATACTTGATATGAATCGGAAATAGTGAATATAAACTCTTAAATGTAAAATATCAGTCTAAAAGACAAAATGTCACACTGAACAATTCTGTTTACTACTAAATTCTAAAACACAAAACCTGAAATCAGGAAAAGTTAAAATGAACTAGTAATCCAAGAGATTTTCAAATAATATTATTATGGAAAGACACTAATGAAATAGTCGAAATATGTCGTTGTAGATAGATTCTAAAAGCCAGAATATAAAACAGAATTATTTTTAACACATAAAAACAAGAAAGTTGTATTATAATCAGAAAATAATCGGGGCACGTAAATCACAATTAAAATTTCACCAAAAAAAGGGGTATTTGTAGATCATTTATAGACCATTATTGCTGCAGAAGTTGGACATAGTTAGAAGGGAATAAGCCTATTTGACCTCTACACTCTCCACGCCACCACCCTTCATCAATCTAGAAAGATTAAATAAAGATTGAGAATAGCACCAGTCAAATAGGTTACAGAACAATAAATTCTAAATGTAAAACTGAAACATAAAGAGTCATTCATAAAATGTATGCATACATATGTGTGTATATATATATATACAAATAAATAAATACAAGAAAACACGAAGAAAGTTAAGAAAAACAATAAGTTTCATTTATTGCGCATCAGCTGCAAGCTGCAAGTAAACAGAACTCATTAGATAAGTTCAAAATGAAGATAAAAGAAAGAAAAATTATAGACATATGAAAAAGGGGGGAGGGGAAATAATACTTAAAAAAATAACAAACAGTTTTTAAAAAAAAGGATGAAATTTTATTTGAAAAAACCGGAAAAAAATGATATAATCTTTTCATCAACCCACACGATTATATCCGCAAAAAAGAACACTTTCTGATATTAATTAATATTGTATTAATATATTTTGCTTTAGCTATATTGATACAATATCAGAAAGCACTCTTTTTTGCGGATATAATCGTGAGGGCTGATGAAAAGATTATAATTTTTTTTCCGGTTTTTTTAAATAAAATTTCATCCTTTTTTCTTTCTTTTTTTAAACTCTAGATTGTTATTTTTTTACTTATTATTCCCCCCACCCTTTCTTTCTCATTTTTCTTTCTTTTATCTTCATTTTGAACTTATAATATATATATATATNATATATATATATACAGTCAAACCCGCATAAAGGAATACCATTGGTTCCAGCCAACACTATTCAATTAAGTGAGTTATTTGATTAAAAGGAGAGTGCATTGTTCAAATTTAGCATAGTGTTTTGTCTTATAAATAAACTCAATTTTATGATCAATTAAACAATTATAATTTAAGCTATCTGTATTAGTATAAGATATAAATATCATTTAAAGTTACATAAAAATAAATTTATGCTAATGAAAAAAATAATACAAGTACTATAATATTTGGTTCGTTTCAAAAAAGTCTGTATTTGAAGACTGTTTTTATACCCATTTAATTCGTTAATTTTCCAAAATTTGATTTTCGCTTCCTTTTTTACTAAGACTTTCATTACTTGCGTATTCCTTTCAGAAAAAAAAATTTTCTTTCTTCTTTGAAATTTGAGAAATTTTAATTCTTATCTTAACTATATTCTTATCTTCTTAACTGAAAATTCCATGCTAGCTGGTGAAACATTTCTTAAAAATAAACAGATTTTTTTTTTTATTTCAGTACTTCTTCATGCAATTAAGTTAAGGCTGGAAGCAACTAATATTCATATAACATTAGTTTCATATAAAATGATTTGGTTCCACTAAATTTTATTCTTATAAGCGGGTTATTCGATTATCTGATATGCAATTAAGTGGGGATAAATGTATACACACACAATGAGACCCTGATTTTAAGGTGAACTAATGTCAAAAAACGCATGAAGCGAGAAAACGTAAAATGAGAGTAAAAAATATAAGCAAATTTTCCAAAAATTGACTCTTATGAGATGATTAGTAGAAAAAATTTGTAGTCTTTACTTGTTTTTGCTTTACATTTACTAATAAATATTGTTTCAGTGTTTTTACGCATTGAAGGTCTTGATCGGATTTTTACACCCCTTAATCACTATCATCGGAAGCATGCATTAAATCAGATATTGAAAAGTAATGGGGACGTGTAATATCTTCAGTCACGCCATTTTATTCTAAAGGGCCACTGTTCTAATTGTTCACCGGGAAGACTGCTTTATTAAAGCCATTGGTCGACACTGTCTAACACAGTAGAAATCGAATTCAGAGCTTCCAAAACATTTTTTTTTTTTTTTTGCTTTAGACTCATCTTGCAAGTCACCTTAATAAAGAGAAGTAAAAGAATACCTAACCGGTTCATTCATGTAACATTCTTTAAATAACAGGGTTCCCATGGTCCTTACTTTTGGTTCAAGGTTTTTAAAAGTTCCGACACGCCGCCAGATGGCGATGACTGATCACCAGACAATAGTAAACGTTGAGACAATGATCTGGTAACGAGAGTCACATACGATGAATATGTACTAAGAGAAGAGACGTTCTTCTCCCTGCTATTTTTCTATAAGTGTTTTTTTTTTGTTCTTACTTTACATATGTTACATTAAATCTGTTTAGTTATCTAGAAAGTGTTTTATTTATCACTTCATATTAACATATATATACTAAATAGCAGAAATTTATTTGTGAATTTTGTTTTTGATTAATAAATCCTTTAAGAATAATAATAAGTATCTATTAATAAGTATCTGAGAATAATCTTTTTTCTTTTTAAATTTACACAATGCATTACTTATAATTACTGTATTAAATCAGTGCAAAATTGTCTTACATTTTTCCTGAAATGTTAAAATTCTAAATAGCTGGGTTTTTTTTTAATAAAGTTAATAAACTTATAAATGTGAACAACAAAAAAAAAACTTTAAGATCAGCAGACATGTTACATACAGTTTTTAAACAGAAAATAAATGTTGGTTTTCAAAACATGAATATTATTTTTTATGATTTAAAGTCACTGTTTTTATCATTTAAAATAGGAAATCCACAACAAAACATTCAAAACTTACTTCTGTCTGCTTTAAAAAAAGTTTAATAATTTGATGAATCTTGGAAAAAAAATTTTCAGCATCAACTATATTTAAAACATTTTTAACTGATAAGGTAAATCATGTAATTGAAAGAATAACAGAAGCGTATTTTTAATGCAAATACATTAAAAATTACAGATTAGCTTTTTTTCCACATCAATTAAATACATTTTTTGTTAAAAATTAGTAATAAGTGATTTGATCAAAAGATCAAAAAAAATATGTATATAATTTTCTGGTAATCAGAATTTTAGAATCGCATGCTTTTTTTAATTACATTTATAAATAAATTCAATGTTAAACATCTGGATAACTGGATGGAAAATCTAGATAAAAACAAAAACAAAAGTCATTCTTAATTTTTAAATGAAAAATTTAATGCTAAAAATCTTAATTTAGCTTCTTCACAATGCTGTATTTTTAGAAAAAGTGATAAAAGAATAACGTTCATAAGAAATGCTCCTTAAAAAATGATGTGTCATAATAAGAATGATGATAAAAAGAAAAGCAAAAGAGAAACCGAAAAAAAATTGTTTTTAGTTCTTGGAATATAACTTTAATGTTGAAAATCAAAGTTTTCTATGCTACCGGCTATTGTCTTACAGTACCGGGGTAAAATTGCACGAAAATAATAAATTCTATCAGAAATACTCCATTAAAATTCCGTGATACAATAATAATAGCAAAAACTAAACAAAAAAACAAACAAAAAAAACATTTTTAATTCTTAAAACAAAGCTTTGAAAAAACTACGAAATTGGCTTGCCTGAAAATACTTTTAAAAAAATCAGCAGTTCAAAACTCGTTGTTCAGTATAAAGAAATCTAATTTCAATTCCTTAAAATTTGCTTTTCCATTTGTTTTTCAGAATATAAACTTGCAAGCCATGTACAAGTTTTAGAACTTAAATATGTGTAAAAACTATTTATAATGTTATGCATTAAGTAATACAGTGAATTGCTGAAAATAATTAAGTTGTAATATGGCCAGTGATAATTATTATATGAGTGTATTTTATTCATTTTCATTGCTAAGCACTTTCATTAAACTGCAATTTTATGACACTTTAATTTCTAATAACCCCCTTCAAACTGAGATTGGTTAGCAGAATGGTTTTGTTTTTGAGATTGGAAAGCAGCGCCACAGCTGCATGGATAGCTACTCCCCTCGACCAGATATGATTTTACACAACGGTCTGCAACCAATAAGCAGAGACCATTAACAGCGCAATCGCAAAAGTTGGGACCTCAGAAATTTTTTACCTATCCATTCATTCAGATAGTTTTTTGCCTGCCTGGATGCTATAAGTGAAGAACGAGCTCTTGCCAAAGGGTGGCATTGTAAATTCTCCCGTGAGGAACATTGTCGAATACAGATATATATTTTTCTTTAATATAATATTTCCTTCACCCATAAATTTAACCTAGAAGTGCCTGGTTTAAATTAATATTATGTTTAAATTATATATGTCTTGATTTTTCAATAATTGCAATGAGCAGAAAACCTTTTACTAAATTGTTAAAACTATATAATCAAGAGCCTTTTTATCAGAAAATAAATTTTGAAACTGTAATAATGTTGACCACTATTTTAGTACGAATTAACTTTGCAAATTAATTCTTTGTAATATTAATCTCCCTTTTTCTTCCTAGTTTTTAGGTTAACATCCTGGTTTTTAACTTAGGATGTTAACCTAAACATCCTAAGGTTAAACATCTCAGTTTTTAACTTAGTTTAAATCTATATGATTTAAAGCGACATGATACCTAAGTTCAAATCTATAGGATCGCAATGTTATCTACACGATCGCAATACAATAATAGATACAACAATAATAATGTATAGTAAAAAATACAATTTTAGATTATTCTTTATTATATCTAATCAAAATCCCTTAAAAAAACTTTGTAGAAAAATACTTTTCCAAAAAAATACTTCAGCCGAATATTTGGCCAAACATTCCGCCATCCAAACATTCAGCAAAAGAAACAAATATGAATAATAGTCGAATATTCGTTTCATCCAAAGACAAAACGTTAAAGACATCTGTCAATCAAATTGTTCACAGAAAATTAATTTATTAAAAGCTATATGCTAAACCCCAGCATAGTCTTACTCTTAACTCAAAATATAATCAGCAAAAATAGTTACTAAGCTAAAACAACACATGAATATCTTTCATTTTAAAATCAGTCAAAATAAAAAGAGTCATTGGGTCAAATAAAATTTTCTTTAAATTAGAAAAAAAAATTATCTAGTAATAAGATAAAAACTTATCTATACCGTTTATTTTTTAATCAATCCAAAATAAAATAATAGCACAGTAGTAAAACTTAGTTTCTATTATTTAAAATGCTTTAAAAATTTTAATAGAAGCTTCTTCAAAATGCTATAATAATAATTTGAAGTCATAAAATTGTCGAGAAACAAAACTGAATGAATCTTACCATTTCAATGTTGATTATTATATCATCTGGGTCAAATGATATTTCATCACTATCAGCTGAAATTTAAAAAATATTTATATGTTAGCTGTAATTAACAAACTGTAAAAAAAAAACGATATTATTTCTACAATCATTTATGATAAATACATAAACTATTAAAAACAATAGAACAGCATACCAGCTTGATAATCATATAAAGCTATTGCTGAGAGCCCAGAACCTTCAGGCACTTCATATAATTCTTCTTCAACTTGCTCTAAAGTTTCGTAAGCTGAAAAATTTTCTTAATGAATTAAAAATTTTAAAACTATTAACATTATCTAAATTCACCAAATTTCAATTCATAAAATCTTCATTATTTTCAATCATTATCAATCACCTACAGGATATTGTGGTGCTTACATATTTACTTACACATTGAGAAATTGAAAGACATTCTTGTATAGTATAAATTGCATAGTCTCAAAATAGTTTTAGAAAAAAAGGAAAGAATTTCAGGTGGCTGCATTTAATCTGACTATAATTTAGGCACTCCTGACTTTGAACACAAGCAGAAAAAACAATTTTCAATTCTAATTTATACGTACTCATTTATTGATGACTTGTTACCATTAATAATATTGTAATAAATATGGAACTGAAAGTTAAAAATTCAATGTTGCAACTTTTGAACATTTTTTTATAGATATAGTTTTCATAAAATCATTTAATATTTTATTTTCATGTATTAAATAAATATATTAACAAATTTTACTTACTTAGGTTATTATTTAGTTTGATTTTACTTCATTAAATAGGTTTGCGCTTAGAGCAGTATAAGTGCTTTTGGAGCCATAAGTTTTACACTCCGATAATTTTTCTTAATAATCAAAGCATGAAAAGTCTATTATTCTATAACTAAATATTTTGTTATATTTAAATATTATTATTATACAATTCTTCATTGGAGTTAAATCGTATTTAATTTATATTTTTGAGAAAAAAAAACTTTCTTCATCTGTAAATCAAAGTGTAGTAAACCAGGAAATTCGCTACATTATAGCAAAAAGGAAAAAAAAACAAAGCATAAATTAAGAAATTTCTGCAAAAGAACAAATACCGTATACAGTTAGTTTCAATTACATTATTTTTACATTTCTGAAAAAGTATAGGAAAGTGCTGAGCAGTTAATAAACTTGCATTTAATTTAAAATGCAATAAAGATGTAATTTTGAATGCAGAAGTGTTATAAAATTACATAATCATAGAAAATTAATAACAAAACTAAACAAACAGAAATTGATTGACAGACAAACTAAATAAAAATATAAAAACAAAATCTTTAAACTAAAAGAAAAATAAATAAATAAAATGCACCTGGTTCAGAAATGCTTTGAGTTTCTTTTGCTTCTGAAAAATATTTAGAAAAAATCACTTTAATCCAAATATCTTTTGTAGAAATAAATAAATAATATGTGAATCAAACTTTAACCAAATAAACTTTACTATAAAATATTTAATTATTTAACAGAATAAAATGTATTCAAATAAAATACCTTTTTAAATTATAATAAAAATAAATAATTAAATTATATTTTTTATACATTTTTATTAATGTTTACCTGGTTCTGTATAAGTCTGAACCTTCTGCACTTCTAAAAATTAAAAAAAAAAATAATTATAAATTTCATAAATCACTGTATAAAATTTAAAGAGCATTTTAATGAAAAAAAACTTACCAGGCTCATAAGTTTGAACCTTCTGCACAGCTGGAGGGAGAAAACAAGTATATTTATTTTGCATATTTTGTATAGTACAAGCGTACAATATTAAATACAGTAACAGCTCTTTAGAACAACCCCTACCGTGTGATACATGAAGTTCTGTTTGCTCTTTTATATAGATGCTATTTTTACACCCATTAGAATGTTCATACTAAACTGTTCATTTCAATATAAGAATCGAAACTTTGTTTTATGCTTTTTATTTCCAAAAAACAGATGCTAAACATTTTTATGGTTTAAAAACAAACATTTATTTCATTGTCAATGAGTCAATAGATAGCAAAACTCTAGAAGAAATTGTTTAAGCCACCAATTCTTTTGTTGTCACCATTCAAAAAACATGAAACATCTTGAATTTTCTATGAATGTTGTGACAGGAACATCTACGTTTATTTCAGGTTGTTCTAGGCATAATCTATGATCAAAGAGATGGTGATTGTTGATAACAATCATCATTGAGAATTAGAAGTGTATATATTGCATCCTCTTGTAGAGATCTGAGTCTCCTGTGTGCATTCATGCCTGTTGTAAATTTCTTTACAAATTGTTTAATGAATTCATTTATATTTTTCAAGTTTGAAAATTGTATTCACTCTTTTTGTGAAGTCTAATAGATTGTTTATTGCGGAATTACAACACATGGCATTCAAATTCTTCTTGATTTCATTTTTGCTGAAACATTGCAATTGTTTGGAAGAGCATAATTTATCCAAAATGGCTGCTTATAACCAACATATCCTTAGAATAGAAATTAAAAATTTTAAAGGATGTAGATAGAAGATTAACGTTTTTGTTGGAAGTGCAGTGTTTATGAATTTTAAGTATATATTTTAATAGTTTTGTGTAATTGTAATATAGCAACCTCACATTATAATGTATATTTTCGTTTAGACCACAGAAGTTGCTATGTCAAGTGTCACTCTATAGACTACATTTATTTAGTATTGTATGGATTTAAAACATTAAAAAAAAAAATTATATTTAAATTATCAAGATTTAACTTATCAGGTTCAGAGTAGGTTTGAACCTTCTGTACTGCTAAAATACAGAAAGCAAAAATAAAATTTTTAAGTCATTAAAACTTATTTAACAACAAAATAATTTATTTTTTGAAATGCAAACAAAAATATTTGTCAGCTTGAATAACGTTCATATCTTACTTATTTATTGCTACCAAACAAAAAAAATATCAGAGAAATAAATAATAGTTTTTTAAAATTAATACAGCTAAAGAAAGAAAATAAAAATTTATAAATAAATTTAGTAATGTATTTATTCATAACGCAAAAAAATTTAATAAAATTTGATCATTAAAAAATTTGATATTAAACTTACCAGGTTCAGAATAAGTCTGAATCTTCTGTACCGCTAAAATACAGAAAGACAAAATTTTCAGAATTTCTTAAAATAACACCAAATTATAACAAAATGATCATATTAGGTGACCACAATCAAAAATGTATTAATTCAATAGTAGATCAAATGATAGAAATGCTACATGTTGAGTCAGAATTTTCATGGTTTAAGAAAAAGATTTATATGTTACTAAATTACTGATAAAAAACTAAAAATAAGATCCAAAAAATATTTATATTATAAAAACAATGTCATTAAATATAAACAGCTTCTTGAAGTTGTTATTTGATCTGATAATTTCAAATTTTGGCATATGAATGAAGCAATATAGTTTAAAGATTTTGTACTTTATTATTTTAAGATTTTCAACCAATCATAAATTAAAAATAAAGAATAAACAACTGTCATAAAGTATTGTTTAGTCAAATAATTTTTTTAATTTCACATCAAAAGTTTTTGAGTTGTAATTTTTTTCTATAAGTAATTTTACACAAATGCAAAAAAAAATAATATGAAAATAAAATAGTACATTATGAAAATAAAATAGTACAGAATAACAAGTAAAATATCTTTAGTTGCAAAACAGTTATAAAATTTAAAATTAAATTTCTAAAAATAGGAGTAAATCAATTTCAATGAAGACTAGAGCTTAATTTTTTTTTATCTCACAAAAACAAAGAAATACTTGAAAAAAATTTTAAATTAACTTTTCTCAAAAACTTTTAACTTTTTCTTCAAAATAATCAAACCATGAATATGAATAAATTAAATAATTTAATATATTGAATACGATATTTTAACTAAATTTAAAAATTAAAATATTAAAGGATCAAATTCAATGCTGTTGTTGATAACAAAAACAAAGTTTAAACAATAAACTAACGTTAAACTTGAACAAAGTTAAAATAATAAACTTTTATAATCATCAAGCAAACTTAAAAGGTCAATGTAAAAGTTAAAATTATTTACCAGGTTCAGCATAACTTTGAATCTTCTGCTGAGCTAAAAACATAATAACAGTTATTACAATAATTATTATTCATTAAATTAGATCTAAATCACTAAAAAAAATTTTAACTTTTTAGAAGTGACTAGAGATAGGCAAAAAACAACACCTACTACATAAACCTAACAAAAATCAGCATTCAACTTACTATTTATTGCAACAAAAAGTAATATATATACAGGGGTTGGACAAATAATGGAATCACTTCCAAACTATTTTTTTTTTTTTATATTTCTCAAGAAATACTTAGAGGATTAATTTTAAACTTTAGAAGTGTTCAAGTCATGTGATTTCTCATATATATCGATAAAGTTTAAAGATTTTGAAAGGTCGAGGCACTGCAATAAATTACGAACGAAAAGGAAAATTTTTTGAACACCAAAAAATACAGAAATAAGCTTTTAACTCGTGTTAATTACATTGATTATCATATGAAATAACTGCACAAAATTTTGTAAATCTAGCTTACATATTCATGGTAAAATGAACATTTTTTATAAAAAAGAAACTAATTTTTTGACTAACATTTTTTACTATAACTGCAGAAATATTCAATTAATTTTCCTGAAAAGTATTCAGTAAGACAGTAGCCAGAATCTAAAATTTATTGGGTATATAAAGAAAGATCTCCTTGTTTAATAAATAATTTCAACTCAAAATAATAAATATTTCAAAAAAATTTATAGTACTGATACAATTTTGTAAAATATTGGACTGTGGTTTCTGTTTTCCAATTTATTCTTAATTATACTCAGGTCTGATTTCATTTATCTTATAATAATGAATAAATGTAAAGCTTCCCAATCAGCTGAGGTTTTTTTTTTTTTTTTTTTAAAACTTTCTTCTACATATTTTTTAATTGAAATATCTTAAACAACTATAACAGGAAACTTTACAAATTCCTTTTGTAAGTATTTTTTTTTTCAGAAACATACCTGGTTCCACATAGCTTTGATGTGGTTTGAATAATTCAGATTCAAAATCATCTACTGCATCCAGGAATGAAATTTCTTCCGTTTTCTTCACAGGGGCTCTTCTTTCCTCATGTGTGATAACATTCTTGAAAAAGTAAAAAATTATAAAACTCAATAAAGTAAAACTAAAACAGAAAAAAAAAATTAGATTTTTTTTTCCTTTAAAGTTTGGAGAAACCTTTTAATTGCCTGAGCTGACTTACTCTTTTATACAAATCTTTATCGAAATCTTAATTAACTATAAATAAATAAAATCTTTGAGAAAAGGTCTTTCACCTAAATTTCAAATACAATTTTTTGAGTAATTGTTAAAAATAATAAAAATTATAGTTTTATATATTCTTAATCTGAACAAAATTTAATACTTAAATTAACATTTTTATTCTTTTTTATGAAGTAAACAAAATTTACAAAAATGTTTAATATACAAGGGCTGTCTTTTAAGTAAAGGCCGTTTGAAAATAAAAAATTTCATGGATCAAAATTATTTTTTGATTTTACATATGTTTCCCTTTCTTTCTTTATAAATAGTTGGCAAGTTTGCTTAAACACTTATCACAACTAGATTTAGAATACTCTCTTCATAAAATATCCTCTTGCCACCTGCTCCGATAACCAAGAAGTCAGGATCGTTTTCACGTCTTCATAGTACTGGTTGCTGCCAAAATAAAGTTTGAAACATCGAAAAAGAAGAAAATCATTAGCGCAAGATCTGGGCTGTATTGAGGGGTGGTCCAAAACTTCCCAGTCAAAAGAGCCCAATAAAGCTTAGGACTAAGCTGTGGAGAGAGTCATTGTCATATAATAGCAAAATTTCCTGTCAGCATGCCAGTAGGAAGCTTCGCAAACTTCACAAATCTGCCGGTGAACGTATGCAGCAAACAGAATTTTTGTAGACTTAAAATGCATCACTGACAATAACTCATACGCGAAGAGGGATTCATTAAACTAGAACATTTCAAAGATACAGAACTGACCATACAGGTTACTTACACAGCTGTAACTGAGCTCAGTTGTTCCCAAGGAATGCCAGGACACAATGCAAGCATCACATATTAGTATACACAACGAAAGGGTCCTTACTTAAAAAACAGCCCTCGTATGTAAGCAGAACATTAAAGATTCAATGACACTGATAATAACTAAATGAGGAATTGGTGTATTAGCTATTAAGAAACTTATATACATCAAATTCTAGTGGGGGTTGAGCAGGTGGAACATGGAATGTCTGTTCAGGAGAAGCGTTTCTAGCTGTAGTAGCAGCTTGAAGTAAGGGAGTAGGAACACCGACAGAAGACGTTCGAACAGTGGGGGCAGCAGGAGGCTCATCCTCCTCCTCTTCTTCAAAACGCTGCTGCTCTTGCCTTAAACTTAGCTTTCTTTGACGTTCCTTGAAAAAAAAAGTGAAACAATGAATTGATCCTAATAAAAACTACAGCATTATTAAAAACTTATTCAAAAAAGTGGGAAGGTGATTCCATTTATACAAATAAGTAATAAAATAATGTTTAAAAAATAAGTAATGCATTGATGTAATACTAATGAGTTTTACTTCAGATATCATGGTTATAGTGATAGAGAAATGAGGTTCCTTTTATACAATTTGGGTTAAAAATAGAAAGACCATTTCTAATACATACTTAAGCAAAATAATTTCTTTTTATCAGATATACACAAGTCATATCTTAAATAACCTGAAAAAAATTGCAGATAGTACCATAGCACTATGAGGTAAACATTCTTAAGCAACCACCACCTTTTGTGCCAAGAAAAACAATTATCAGATTATTTTTCAGAAAACAAAATAATTGTTATAATAAAACACTTTTTTTAAATTCTTGAAATAATATTTTAATAAGATACATTATTTAAAAACATAATTTTATTTTTATTGGTTAAAAAAATTTATAGGCAATGAGGGAGAAAACAAAACAAAATTGTAACAATTTGATATAACAAAATGAGAGAATAGACAAATTTGACTATAACAAATCAAATAATTTTATTAGTTTAGCATTATTTAATAATTTATAATAGCATTAATAATAATAATTTTATTAGCTTTGCTTGTTGAATTACTTACAGCCACATTGTTCATAAATTAGAGAATGTGAGAAAAAATATTTTAGAAGTATAATTTTGAAAATTACTTCTTCATCCTTCTTAGCCAGCTCTTTCTCTTTCTGTTCTCGAGCGAGACGTCTTGTACGCTCTTCATCGGCTCGTTTCTTTGCTTCCTCTTCTTCCGCTTTTGCCATGTTCTCAAAACGAGCTCTCAAGCTGCTAGCTTTATTTGAGCCAACTATAAAAAATTCAAATTTTGAAAAAATCGGTACTCATGGATTAATAACAGTTTTTATAAATACAACAAATGTATTAATACTAACTCATAGTAAAAAAAAAAAGATTAAAATAAATATTGAAATCAAATGCATGCAAGCATGCAAGAAAATACATTAGATATTTAATTTACAATAAACACAGGCTGGAGAAAAAAAATTTAGTAATCATCAACGATAAAATGTGGATGCACTGGACGAATAACTAAGAGTAAAAAATTAAAGTGAAGGCTTTATCAATTTCCTTAAAAGATAAATATATTCTTAAAATGAACAAAGAAATAAAATAAAAATTCAAAACTCTCAAAAATAAGAGTGTTACATGCTCCATTACTCAGGGTTGCAAGTTTATTACAGTCCAAATTAATTTTACCGTCAAATTTTTAATATATATTAAACATTTGATGAATAATATTAAATATATATTGCATATAAAAATTCTTATTATAAAACCATTTAATTTATCAATAATTGATGGATATCTTACTGGTTTGGCAAAATTTAGTTTAACATAATTTTAAAGCTGATCCCATTTTACTTCAAACCCTGCGGATATAATTAAAAATATAATTAATTGCTATCAAGCGATGATTACTTTAGTTCAAAAAAGGAACTTGCTAAGTTGAAAAAATCTCTTCATATTAATTTTTTGGAGCATAAATTGAATTTCTTTTTCTTTTTTCTTTTGGAATTTGCAAGCAAGCAAAACTATCAAAATTCCACACAAATCTACTGCATATTTCAGTCTTTTTTTTTTCCCTGGCAGACTTACAACCCTAATTATGATGCATTGTAATTCCCTTAGCTGTGGAAATGGATTTTAAAAAACTCATATAATTCATCTGTTCTCTTAAAAACATTTGAAGTAATTTTTTAAGAAAAATAATAAAAGTTGATTAGAATATAAAAGCATAGTGAAAACTATAAAAGTAAAAAAATTATCCAAGTACCTGAATCTGAGCGGACTTTTTGATATGATGATTGTGGTTTCTCAATTTCAGAAAAAGAGTGAGCTGACTGCAGAAAAAAAATTACAGCATTACAAAAACATATTTTATATTGTCTATAGATAAAATGAAAAAAGTTAGGTTCAAATTTAAAGCAAAATAAGTAAATAATTACACATAACTGCTTAATCTAACAAACAAAGCAATTAAAACTGAATTGAATAATACAGAGCAACATTCCTTAATATATATTCCTCCAAGATAGAACACTGTTAATTAAAAGACATCTTTGTAATCCCCAATCTCTTAATAAAGGGTAGTTTGTGTTATTTATTTGGAAAAGTGGTCACTCCAAATAGATGCTCCATCATTAGTCATTTTTAAAATAATTCACCACCTTCAAATGTTCATACTTGGTTCACACAAAACATATTATCCCCCTCTCAATTAAACAATATCTCAAAAATGGCAGCCAAAACGTGTGGTCCCATACTTAGGGCAAGAATATAGAAAGACGAAGTGCAGCTCATTGAATATGTAACTAACACGGGAAACTGCTCAATGTGGTGTACTAGACCAGAAAAATAACTTTCGTGGCGAGCAACATACTCAGATTTAGCAGAGTATCAAATGTACTAAGATTCAGTGCATACACATTAGAAATAAAGTGTCAGTCAGGAGGTATGTCACCTGTGAACCAGTTGTTGGACAACTCTACATGTATAGTTAGATACGCTGCCTCGCACCATTTTATTCTTTTTTTCTTGCCCAAATGTGTCAGATTTAATCAACATGGATGATATAAATGTATTCTCAAAGGATTACCTTCACTAACAGTTCAGTACCGTTTATCAATAGTGTAAAGAATGCAGAGTAAACCGATGAGAAAAAAAAAAGAAAACTTTTCTTCTCCCCAACACTAGTAGTGGTTGGGAGGAGGGGAAGGTGAAAACCAGTTTCAAAAACTTCTACTGGTGTGCCCCTAAATGTAGTTTTTTCCTTTATATATAGGGACCACACCAAACCTTGGACTGGTTTATATTATGCTAACTGGTTTACAATACAGAAATTAAATTGGTCTGGTTTACATTATAAAAGCTAACCTTCTTCCCCTATTTATATACTTAGGGGTCCCACTGAAGTTGAATGGTACAAAATCTCATTATAGACAAAGTGATAGCAACATTTCAAAGCGAATAAATTTTTTAAAATATTACAAATAAGATCATAGTTTACATTCTCAATAAATTAAAAGCAATAGATTTTGCTAAGTGAAAAAAAAGAACATATATATTTGCACTATTTTTTTTTTTTTGTTACCTTTGTCTAGTCATGACTACACCAATTCTATAAAAGGCCTCCAATACAATTTAGAAACAAATAAAAATATAATTTATTTACTTATACGTCTCTTGATTAAATTATTTTTTTTAAAGAATGAAGAATGCTAAAAAATAAATATGTACTTTATATGAAGAAGATACAAGTGGATAATTTTACTGCCATTTTTTAATATTCAAATGCAGTACAATAACTATTGTATTATTATTCAATGCATAAAAGTAGAATTATTCATAATAAATTTAATCTAAAAAATTTTAATAAAAAACTACATTGTAAATTTTAAACATTGGGGTAAACTTTTTTTTAAAGGAAAAAAAAATAACTTAAGTCTAAATTCAAAAATGTGGTACTTTTTGTCATCTTTTATCAGTTCTTTTTTAACATTCTAATGTTTCGTAAATTGACAGTATTACTAAGAATAATTTCAACTAAAATATTTTTAATCGATGTAATTAAAAGTTACATTATTGTTACAATATTTTTTATTTAGTCACAACACTTCAAACTAAAAAAAAATATAAGGAATGAGTTCATCATTTTTATTAGTACTCTTTCAAACATATTATTATTTTGCAATTAATTTCACTCATTTTAAAGAAATATTACCAAAACAAATCATCAATACAATACAAATTTTTGTCATTATAGTGAAATTTTTTAAAATGGCAAGCGTAAACTGAAACATTTTATATTCATAGATGATAGTTAAAAGTTTTCTCTAGGTAAAAATAAATTGAAAGAATATAGTACTACCTTATCCTGCCTATCTCTCTCAATTCCAAACTTTCCACCAAATCCTTTCTTCATGTCAGTTTGAGAAGGGTGTGCTTCCACTTTAGTTACTTCTTCCCAACCTAATGCAGATTTATCCTTTCTGTCTTGCTGTACCCCGTATTTTCCACCGAACCCCTTAGCATAATCTACACACACAAAATAAATTATACAGTTTTATTTGTAATATGGTTATATATTTATAAAACAGCTATTATAAATATATATAAAACCTTATTCATCACTAAAACATAGCAGATTATTAGAACAAAGATGTTTAAAAATATTTAATTCTTTTTAATGTGTTAGTAGCAGGACATATAAAATTTCAATAAAAAAAGAATTAAAAAATACTACTTTTGGCTAAAAGATTTTTGGCAAAAGTTTAAAAAAAAGTAACATAATGAACTAAAAATTTCCATGAGGAAAATAATTTAGAGATTTTAAAAAATAAAATCTTAAATTCACCTTAATTTTAACTGCCATAAATAATTCGACCTACTAATGATGACGACTATATACTACAATGATATAAGATCATACCATGATTTCAAACTGATAAATTAATTAAGATATATCTTTTCTATAAAAAAAAAGAGAATAAATTACAAATAATTAATTAAACACAATTTAGATTTTTTTTCTGTACAAAAAAATATTGACTAAAAAAAAAATAATATTGTATAAATTAAAAATGTTATTACTAAGAGTTTTAAAAAAATTAATAATTAAACAAAATAAATAAACTGATAGTTTTTTTCTTTTTTAATTATTTATTTTACCTAAAAATTTAATTGGTGAATAAATAATTTTCAAACACGCTTCTTCTAAAAACATTTTGATTAATAGTTTTATTATACATGCTATGATTTTCATGAAAAAAAATTCAAATAATTTGACAAACTTCATTAACTTCAAGCTTAAATGTAAAATCAACAAAAATTCAATCATACTTAATAATAAATTAATACTTCATATCTGAACACTATAAGAATTGCAAAATTATTATCTCTATTTTATTATTATCTATAATTTCATGTTATAAAAGTTGGCAACATCATTAGTTATTAGAAAACTACTCATATGAGCTTGCTAATAATTAAACCAAGAAAACCTAGACAATAAAAGATAATCTAAAAAATGAGTAGAATATTTTAAGAGAATGGTGAAATATTTTATAAAAATGCTAAATAGTATGCAAGTATTCTTAATGTAATGTAAATTTTAAACTTCAAAAATTGATTTACGTGCGCATGTGATTTTTTTAAAACCCATATGAACTGAAAATGTTTTAAAACTGTAGATAATAAAAGAAATTCTACAGGTAAATCAATAAAAAATGCATTAATTTTTAATAAGCTGAGTTCATCAGAAAATAATCATTCTAGATTAAAAAGCAATTTGTTACCTTTAACTTTTCCTTATTGGAATTGAACTATACTGGACACAAATTTTATAATACAAAATCAGCAATAAACAATAATAGCAACTACTTATTAAAAAACATTTGAATCATGAAAGAAAAAGTTAAATAGTTAAGAATTATTAAAGATGATTCCAAGCTAATTCAAAACATACAAACTAAAAGCTAAGGAGAAAAATTTGAAAACTATTACAAACTTAAAAACTGAAACAGAAAAGAATTTATAAATATCAAAAGTCATTTTAAATTAATGGTAACAGGACAATTAAATTAACAATTTAAGTAAAATATAATGTACTTAATTTCTTTTTTACACTATATTAATTGTGCACAATTAACATAACAAACAATGGTTAGTTACATTTTTATTGTTTTCACTTTGTATGATAAAACTAAACTTTTTAATGATGTTAACACAGGAACAAAACAATATAACTTGGGAGAATTTTACATTAAGAGCATTTATTAAGCACAGAGACCTTAAGAAAAAGATTGTTATTTACAAAAGGAAATCAATATTTATTCTTTTTGATTTTGAATCTTTAGATAGCAGAAAGCCCATGCACTTGTTATTTTTTTGTTTGGTGTTAAAATTATCAGGCACAAGCCAAACAAAAGGCAATATAATTATGCATCTCTGATGAGCCATTGAGATGAATAATTTAAAATTTAATTGTGACTGACCAATCTGGGATTGGTGTTTAGGAACTTTCTCAAGATGTTGCCAGCCTACTGCACTTTTGTCTTGCCGATCTGTTTGCAGCCCGAATTTTCCACCAAAGCCTAATGCATAATCTGTGAAGTAATTGAAAATAATTAACAACCAATTGTTAATTTTAATACAGAAAACGAATGGTGTTTTTAACGGTGTTTTCTTCTAATGTTAACTCAACAACTATAATTTAGATAAGAATATCTTTAATCTGAAATAATTTGTTATAAATAAAATATCTTGATACATACATCTTGTTATATTAAAAAATGTTATTAACAATTGGCTGCTAACGAGAATAATTAACAAACACTGCTTAATGCTAATACAGAAAGAGAACTGCTCAATGCCATTTTCTTCTCAAGTTGAAGTATAGGTTAACTCTCAACCACACTTACTAAAAGAAATATTTTAAAATTTTCTGAATTTTTCATAACTTATTTACATTTCTCTGTAAAATAACTTGTTAACAATAAAATATCCAATAAAAAAAATTTTATTAAAAAAAACTATATTTAAAAGCAGTAAAAACAAGATAATTTTTCATATTAATACATAATTATTTTATAACTTTAAAGTTTTTTAGTTCAACTAAATATGACACACTTATACTTATGTTCGGTAAGAAAATATCTATCAGAAGTATTTATGAAGCTGTGTAAAATATAGAATTAAGTAAAAACAAGATAATTTTTCATACTAGTACATAATTATTCTATAATTTTAAACTTTTTTAGTTCAACTGAATATGACACACTTATACTTATGCTAGGTGAGAAAATATATATCAGAAGTATTTATGAAGCTGTGTAAAATATAGAAGATTGATTTTAATTACATGTCTTACACAAAATGTAAAGTTAACATATACTTTAACATTCAGTCTTATATACCTTTCAAGACTTTCACTTTCTTCATGCTTAACAGAAAAAATACTATTTATTTACAGGGATAGGCTAAAACACCTCATATTCTTAAGTAGTACATAATCTGAAAGATGTATTAAAAAAACTGACAAGATCTAGGGAAATTGAAATATCTTTAAATTATTAAAAAATATAATTGTTCAGACACTGAATACTACTAAAACTTCATTTCCACAATTTACTATGTTTCAAATGAAGATGTCATATCTGTAAGTTTCTAATCAGTGAAATAAGATATTTTCATTTAAGAAAGATTATATAATAAAGGGAAGTGCTTTGGCTAACTCTGTACGTGCAATATAAATTTAAATATACTTAATATGAATTAAATATACTTAAGGATTTAAACATACACAATTATATAATTTAGAAATCTTGAAATTGGAAAGAAGATTGTAATAATAGAGTAAAAAATAACTAATATATTAAAAAAAACGAAGTTTAATATTTTGTGGAACATAAAGAGAAACAAAATTAAACAAATTAAGAGACAAAATTAATGATTTTGAAAATTCCTTATTTCCAAAAATGTTAAGTTATTACTAATTCAAAGAATTATATATTTTTTGCATCACACAATTTTTAAATGTTATCTGACATTAAAAACAATGAGGTTTCATTAAAAAGCATTTACTAAAGAGAGTCTGGTGCAAAGTTTCACTTTTTTAATAAACTAATTTAAGCTTCAGTTGACAAAAAATGTCTGCAAATTAAGAACATATCATATCATAATAATACGAACAATGTAACAAATAATAAAACATCCAGTAATGTTAATTATTAGATGATTGAAATCTATACTGACGTGCGATTGAAAAAACGTAAGCATTTCATGATTGATTCCGAGAAAAGTGGTTTGACTACTTTTCTCCTTCTATTGCTAATGCTATGATATAGAATTTTAAAAAACTAATGAAACAAAACTTATTTAAATTTTTTCTTTTTTGCAATTATATATATATATGTAGTTGCTTGCCATATAGCGATGTCAAATATATAAAAATCTTAATTTTGAATTTTTCCTCGCTCAAGTTGATTTTTCAATTGCATGTAGTAATAAAAGTCTGGTTCCGATATCTAAGTTTTTATCATAATCTTTTACTGTATCTGTACTGGCTTTTTATATCATGGCTTAATAATCCTTCAGAGTGAGTTGACAATTGAAATTATTCTTTTAAGTAAGCAATATGTTCAATGCTAATAAAATTAAAAACTGAAGATTTCGGGTAAATACAGAAAAAAAGAATAACCTTTTTGGGATGGATGCTTCTCTGTTTTCTCTTGATAATCCCAGCCAACTGCAGATTTATCCTGGCGTCCTTGATCAACGCCAAATTTTCCTCCAAATCCTTTCGCATAATCTTTTTGTGATTCATGCTTTTCAGACTTTTCAATATAATCCCAGCCAACAGCATTGCTATCTACTCTGTCTCTCTGCACACCAAATTTACCACCAAATCCTGTAGCATAATCTATAAAACATAAAAGAAAATTAATATAAACAATGATTGAAACTTTATGTTCTTTAACATTAAAGAGTTAATGTCTAAGAAATTAAAAATACAGTGTCAGCTTATTAGCAGTGAAAGCTTCAATTGCCAACACCAAAATAAACTTAGGTTATTTTCCCTAGGTCATTGTGTAATTTTAAATGGTTGTGAAATAAATAAAATATAATTAGATAGTTGGCTTTATAAAAAACAAGAAATGTAAATTATAATATAAGGAACTATTTAATGTGATTGTGCATAGTTATGAGAGACTCTTCAGCATTTGTTTAAAAAATTTGCTTCATTTCTCAAAAATAGTTGTGAAGCAAAAATATTATTCATACCTTATTTTATATTAACTTTTTAACAGCTAAACAAACATATACATTTAACTTAATCTTATGAGTATTTGATAATCATCAAAACTTTTGTCTAAATATCAAAATGATTATTCAATATTAAAACTTATCAAATATCTGTCAATACAAAAAATTATATCAAATAATACAAATTAGAAATTAAATTATTTAAAAAAAAATGCATGTGTTGTACATGAAAAAAACTGTGTTTCTGTAAAAAATATGTTTTATGTGAAAACATTTTCTTTGTTAAATGATTCATATTAAGTTAAAAGTAATAAAATTCCTTGATGATGGTATATATAGAAAATTTAAAGCACTATACACTTTTAAGTTAATATTTTAAAATTAATTACCAATCATTCAACTATTTTATAAGACATTAGTGCCAAAACATATGATGTAAAATTTAATATTAAGCCTAAATATTAATGACCATTAAATAAGATAATAACAGTTTCAAGTAACAGTCAAAAATAAAAACTATCAGAATTATGTTATTCTTAGAAAATTAGCTTAATAAGAATAACTTTTTTAAACAGATTAATGACTACATAAAGAAAGTTTTAAAAAAAAAAGACACAACATTAAATTAGCTAAAAAGTTATGCCTGTTGAAGTTCATAAAGTTACCTTTCTGAGAGGCATGTTTATCAACTTTTTCATGATGATCCCATCCTACAGCTGACTAAAGAGTGAAAAAAAAATAACATTAAAAAATATTTACAAAATCAAGACGTTACAAATATTGCACTCAGTTCATTAGTGTTCACATTTTTTTTAACTAAGCATGCAATTAAATTGTCTGTACATGCCTATTTATGATCAGGGTGCAACCTGGGAACAAAAAGTGTCACTTATATTGTGAATGTGCCGTTCTCGCCTTCAAACCAAAAATTAATTGGAAAAAACTAATTGGCACAAGAAATTTATAACTGCTTTTAAAATTTCTTTTAATAAGCTTTGAAAAAAGTCCAAATTTAAAATTCTAACATGTACTAATTCAAGATATCAAAAGATTCAAATCTTTTAAGACTTTGATATTTTTTAAAGATAATTTTCTTTTACAGAAACCTGTTCAAATAATATAGAAAAAGTAAAAATAATAACAACAAACCATTATATACTAATATTTAAAATTAATCTTTTTAATCAGAGAGTTAAAATCCTTGAATAATTCAAAAATATAATTTAGATATTCTAAATATATACTTTTAAAATTTTTAAACCAAATTCAAAAACTCAATCTTTTTTTCTTTGGCTCCCTTCCACAAAGATTATGCATCCCAAGTATAAAAAATTATTAGAATATTAAAATTTTAAAAATAAAAACTATAATGATAATAACAATATAACAGTTTAAAAATAAACTTAAATAATAAAAACTATAATAACAATAATGAAATAACAGTTTAAAAACCAATTTATATAAACATATATAACATGAAAATTGTTCTTACTTTATCTTGTCTATCAGATTGTACACCAAATTTTCCTCCAAAACCTTTAACAGCATCAACTTGAGAACCATGTTTTTCAACATGAGCAACATAATCATGGCCAACAGCAGACTAAAAATAACATTAATTAATAACATAATCAAATCTATATTTAGAACAGTAAAAATTTAACAGACTATTAGCATTAAAAAAGACATTTCTATTACCTCTAAAAAATAAAAATAAATTATGTATATCAAAAACATATGATGTTGTTATATAACCTTTATCTTACTTAGTTAGTGCTTTTTTGCGTTGTTTCAATTTTAAAATGTACCAGAATATAAAAATAATAATTGTTTGAAAAAAGTATTTTATGTGCAACTTATTTATAAATAATGGTATTTTTGTTTAAATGGTGCTTCATGGGGCTAAAACCATTAAAGCTTAATTCACAAAATAACAATTTACAGCAAGTTTTTTAAACTTTTAACAAGATATATCATATAGCTAATAGATCAAACAGGTCAGAAAAAATAACATGTAAAAAGCTCATATTATTTTGGAATAATGCAATGTAAGTAACAAAACTTTTTAAATAAATAAGATTAAATCACACAAAAATAAATAACAAATATATATAAAAGGCTTAGATAGGAAAACTGAAAATAGAAACATCAGTTTAAATGAAAAACCTAAAACTTAACAAAAATTAATTGGTTAGTGACCCAAAAAAAAACAACAGCACTTGATTTTAATCTAGGGATTCAAAGTTGATTTTGATTAGTTTTCATACATTTTCAAAAGTGGACAACAGAAAATTTTAGGCAACGTCATTATTTTTCACCACCCTCAAAACTATAACAAAATATTTAAAAATTATAATATGACTCTGAATAGACTTGGTGAGTTTTTGCCAATTAAACACATTTTCATTGAGTTACATGGAAAGTAACAAGATATTGTTGTTGGGTAGCATGCAGCTCAGTTTGAAAAAATATGAAACTTTCAATAATAGTAATATTACACCATTTTAGGCAATACAAATTATTATAAAAAGCTAACTTTAACTCTCCTGAGCTGAAATTACTATAATGTCATCCATCTGCTTAGTATTTATTTATTCACTTTATACTTTATTTAGAAAATGCTGAATAGCTGAAACCATTACAAAACACTTTCAAATTTTAAAGGGTTTCATAGTCTACAAGTTTAGTTACCACTGGAATAACTAATTGCACTGCCAACCCATTTAGGAATTTTTAAAGCAAAATTACGAAGGAATTTTACGCAAAATCAATTATAGTAAAAATATATAACTATCGTAAACCTGAGTACCTTATCCATTCTGTCAGCTTGAACACCAAATTTTCCACCATAACCATAGGAGGATTTTATACCACCTTCCATCTGTTTTTTCTTGTATTCAGCATCATCCTTGGTGACATTTGTTCTAAGTTCCTGGATGCTAAAAGAAGAAAATAAAAAAATTTCATGTTTAAATAATAAAATTTTAACTACAATTTATTTTTCGTGTATACAATGAACTTGTTTTAAAATTTCAGTAACTAATATTAACATATTAAAACAATCTTGACATAGGCCTCATAACAAGTTGGGAATTTATTTTTGTTGTTGATATAATACTTCAAAAATGAAAATTTCTAATTCGTGCTTTACTAACTTTCTTCCAGAATATTCTTAATTGCAGGATTTTAAAGTTAATTATTAGGTTTTTGAGTTATCTAAGCTAAAGGTCCTAAGTTTTAAGTGACGGACATGTGTTTGTCATTAATAAATGATTTATCCTAAAAATTTTCTGAGTCAAGGAATTTCTCTAACAATACAACTAGTGTTTTATCTCAATCGAACATTAAATCTTATGCTTTTTATAAGAAATTATAAATTATGGGGTATTTTAAAGTTATAAAAATAAAATTATCTAAACATTTAGCTTATAAGAATATAAAAAATTACTTAAGAGCAGCAACAGTCCTGCCAGAACCTTCAACGGTTTTAGAGCCCCATCTCTGTTCTTCTTCAGTGACATCATTCTACAATGAAACAAATTAGATTGTTCAGGTTTCAACTAGATAGATATTTAGAAAAAAAAGAAACACAGTAACATTTTTCAAAATCATCATCACACTTATTTTTCCAATAAATAGTGGGAACATTTCTGTGCAGTAATTAAGTCACACATCAATTTCCAATTTTATTAACATTAGTGACTTTCACACATTAAAGTTACAGTGTTAACAAAATTAAGCAAATAGGTATAAACAATACGCTATAAGAAAGTAATGGTGTTCAAAATCAAAATTAAACATTAATGTGTATTCAAAAAGATTTGTTTTAAGAAAATTATAGTAATAAAAAAAAATAATACATTACGATTCAATAATAAAAAACTGACTGCTTAAATAATTTAAAGCTAAGTAGTTTTACAGACAAGTTCTTCACAAAATTAAAACAAATTATATTCATGTAAAAAAAAGAAAAAAATAATAATCTTTCTCAATATCAAATTATGATTGTTTCTTAGATTCTACTTTGAGATTTATCACCTTACAATTAAAAGGATCTTTTTAAAACATAAGAAAGATATAAGATTTGAAACATGGACCAACTTGGATAAGGGTATACAGCTACACATGATATAAAAAAGATTTGAAAAAGGTTTCTTAATAAAATTATTAATAATTTACTATTTTTGTACTTTAATTTTTTGTTCACATCACTAACATTATTTTTCTTGTGCTTTCATAATATATGTCAGAACTATAACAATTATACAGAAAATTTCAATTAAAGTACAATTTATTACTATAGAAATAGAAACATATTGAACTCAGGCATTTATAAATGATATAAATTTTTTACAATGGATTTACAAAGATGAAGGATTTCATTATCATGAATAAAAAGAAAAAAAAATTAATTGCACAAAATAAAAGCACACATACCTATATTATAAATTTTTTTACAATAACATATTAAATTGCCATGTATATATTTTTCCTAAATTAAACCAGAAACTAATCATTGATTATACTGGGAATTAAAACCGAGGATAAGATAAAATCTTCTTTCAATAAAAGATCTTTAAAAAAGGCTATCAGAAAAGAAAAAGACATTGGGAGAAAAGTGCCACCAAAATCTCTGTGCCTCCTTGCTGTCAATTATTACATAGAGAAAGATTTTTGGCCCCTTTTTAAACCTGAAAAAATATATATTTCCTACTTCTTAAAACACGGAAAAATATATAAATGAAATTTCCTGAGTTATTAAGTAACTATTTAATATTTTAGAACTTTTGTTTCATTTTGTTCATGAAATGAATTGATCATTGAAACTCATTTCATAAAAAACAATCTAGGAAATGAGTTTTAATGAACTGTTTGTAAAACTTTTTCAAGTGCATGAAAGTTTTGAAAAATAATTACTGTTATAAATTTAAAACTAAACATACACTATTCTAAAATGATTAATAACTGTTTAACAAATAAGAAAACTTTGCTGTAATTCTTAATAGGTTAACATTAAAGAAGGAAAGAAGTCCTTTTCTGTCTAAAGTAGACCCTTAACTGTAAATAAATAGCATTTAACTATAGTGAATTTTACATTGTGCATGATTAAATATTGAGACAATATTAATCAACTAAAGCAAATTAATATTATAACAGGGTTTCCACTTAATTTCAGAAAAAAAATTCACTGACTTTTCCAGATACATCAGGTAAGTTTTTAATGAAAATGAATACCATATTTTATCCATACCATACTATTTTTCATCAGAAACCCTTAATTTTTTTTTCTTTTTTGTAATATCAAATATTAGATTTTGTGAGGAAAAACAATAGGTTGAAAATAGAAACATGGAAAAGTTTCACTAGAAGGTGGAACTTTATAAAATAATTGTAATACATGTTCAAACTATGCAAATTGAATAACAATAACTAATATCTGATATTGACAATTCTAAAACTGGTTATTTTCATTTCTCCATATTCCGTGGAAGCCCTGTTATAAAAGGAAAAAAAAACTTTTTTGACAAATATGAAAATCAAAATCATTTTGAAAAATTCTTACAATAAAATCCGGATCTGTTTCCCAATCATCATCATCGCCACCACCATTTTTGGTATCATTCACATTATATCCGACAGTTGCTTTCCACATTGTGATCTAAAATCTAAAAACATATTTATTTAATAGAAAGATTACATTTACATTTATTGTAATAAAATCTAATATTAACAAGATTCGAAACACTAAAAATACAAAAATGATGCTTTTGCATCATAAGGACCACTAAATGCTGTTTAAACTGTGAAGCAAAACAATGTCCAACTTTTAAATCTTAATTTGTAAATTCAGTAGCAACTTCTAAAGCAATATCTAATGGGACAAACACTGTTTCACCAAATTAAATAATACATCCGAAAATGTATGAATATTAAATTTTTCTAGTGAGAGCCTCCATTATTAAGGATAAAAAGATTTATCAAATATTCGGGGAGATTTCCATGTCATGATCTGAGACAGAACAATTGCCATGTCTTGGCAAACCGACTCAAAAGGTATGACTTGTAGCCTCTTCTGGGCAAACATCTACAAATTTTTTTTTTAAAAATTTGCAAGTTCAAAATTATTTGGCACCTTGACGATTGTAGCTGGCGCGACAGATCACGATACGGAAATATCCCCTAATTTTCTTATAAATAAGTCTGAAACTAAATCAGCATTATTTCTACAATTTTATCTAGTTATAGCTTATGTCTCACAACATTTACTATACAAGGTTTCATAAGATAAATGGTGTGCAATAAATTACTACGATGACCAAAAGCTAAAGATTATTAACATTAAGAATGTAAAAACATCGTAATTTTTTATCTTATATAAAGATAATTATGAAACCGACAAAAAAGTACTGAATTTCAAGGAACTACGAAAATAAACACATAGACGATTAAATTAACTGTTTCTATACCATAAAACATAATTTAAAAGACAAACATTATTCACGGGCATTTAAGTTCAGAATTGAGGTTATGAAGTTTGACATTCAACAGACAATGCAAAATCTTCATTAACAAAAGCTGGCTGATTTGTCAACACTCTACTCACGTACAAAGCATCCGGATATAAAAAGAAAATAAAAATTGATTGGATACAACTAAGCGTAGCAAGAGAAAAAAACTTTCATAAAATAAAATGCAAAAGATATGCAACCGAATTCCGCTTACCCGAAATAAAATAATGAAATAAATTAATACCGCAAAGAGATGTTTGATGAGCAAAAATTCAAAACAAACCCATTCTCATGTGTTTTCACTTTGATCTGAACAGACAACACCCGTCAAAATTTCCTGCAGTCACAGTTACACAAGATTTAAGAGATATTGGCTAAAGAGCAGTTCTCTTTATATTCTTTTCAACCGAGCTGTCTTTTTTTGAAATTTTTTTTTTGTATTAAAAAAAAGGGAAGAAAAAAAGTCTCTCAAAATGTCCGTTATGGGATATTTTGAGGTTATCGGACTTTAACATATATTATGATAAATTTTTCATTTAAGCAAATGCCTTTAAATTAACTGGAATGTTCAGTTTGAGATGAAAAAGGTTTGGTATCACATAAACAGTGCATAAAATAAAGAGTGAACATCTGCATAACTTTTGATCTAATAATCAGATTTTCACATTCAATGAATCAATCCTAATAGTTGAAGAGCATAAACTTGAATAAGCCAATTAATGAATGCAGATGATATTTTATGTTTCGAAATCACATACAAAAAAGTACTTTCCTCTAAAAAAACATACGTCCCGCAGTGGACTGATCGTTAAGACACGGTTCCCAGCAGATCACCGAAGTCAAGCATCACTGGCTACGGTCAGTGTGCGGGTGGGTGACCACTTGGATCAGTCTACGTAGGAACCGAGGGTGTGCGGTATTGGTCCTCGTTAAACTGTTCTACCGTAAAGTGCTCGACTTCGCGTGCAGGTCGTCGGGCTACCGAAGCGGGGGTGCCATCCCCTCTGCAGAGGGTCAAATTGTGATGGTATGTCTTCGGATCATCCTCAGGGGTGTTTCCCAGACCGTCGCCAATAGCCCACTGTGCAGCTCTAGTGCGACGTAAATTAACTACAACAACAACAACTTAATAAACATACATTTAGCGATAGGTTAATATTTTCCGGCCCTTATAAAAAGAAAGTAGGGGAGCCATAATCTGGAAAATATGGTTGCAGGGGAGCAGTTGGAAGTTTAGAACCCTTTATGTTAATTGTACTTCATGAGTATTTCCCCGTAACAGAAGAACTTTTTAAATGAATTTTTAAAAAATTTCATGCAATGATAAAATTTGTTAATCCAAAGTTCTAAGCAAAAAAATTAATAATAATAATTTCTTACAATTTTTTATTATTTTTGTTATTTCACACTAGTCAAAAAAATTTTGAATTGCAAGGAAAGTAAAGAAATTCAAATATCAAAATACAAAATTTAAGCGAGTTCAGTCAATTAGTTCTTGAAAATTCAAATTTTAAATATACGACTTATTCAAAATAACTATTCGATCAATTTTGCTCAAATTTTCTACTTTGTAGTTTAAAATTATATTTTTATTATATTTAATAAAATTATATTGTAGTTTTTAATTATATTTTATTTATATATTTTTTATTTAAAATTATATTTTATTAAGTATATTATTTTAATTTTTTATGGTATCAATTTTTATTTCTATATAATTTTTTATGGTATCAATTTCTATTTCTATATCGCTACAAAAATTATCGTCTTCGCTTAAGAAAAAAAAATAGAGCGTGGGAAGAAGAAGAAAAACTTATTATAACAATTATGAACAGCGACAGATATATCAAAGCGAAGCGTTCTATTTACGTATCGAATATGTTGCCACATTTTTAATACAAAAGTTAAACTTTTCTCCACTTTGATAAATGTAAACTAATGCGAACCTTACAATTAAATTATTAATTCCTTCGTATATTATTGGTTCAAGTTGTCGAAAATTAATATTTCAATTGTAAGGTTCGTATTAGCATACATTTATAAGAGTGGAGAAAAGTATATGCCTTTTTTAATAGTTTTTTGAATATGGCTCTTTGAAGACAAAAAAGCATAGATTTTCTTACAAAATGACTGATAACTAAAAAACTAATCCAAATTTTTGAAAAAGAAAACAAAAATACTTCTTCATTATGTCAAAACACAATTATGTGCCGAGTTTCGTGGCCTGGGCCAGGCTTCTGGGGTGATATATTGTGATTTGATTACAGACAGACAAACAGACACACACACACACACAGCCGCGTTTATTATTATGTATAGATTATTATTGGACGAAAATATTTTCGGATGCTCAAATTTTATAATGTTAAGCTAAAAATTTTCGATTCGCTTAAAAAAGTTCCAGAGATATAGTGAAACATGCCAAAGTAAAATTAACATTATTGGGTCCAAACGCGTATTGTACTATACATGCTCCACAATGAGCACAGCAACTTCATGTAATTTAATTATAATGATGTAGTTTTAATAATAATAATGATAAATATAATTATCACTTTTAGAAAAGTTTAATGCATGACTTCATAAGTCTATGTTATCATCGTCATACATTTAATGAAAAATATTTTTTCCAAATAAACGAAAGTGGTTTTAGCGTGCATCTAAACCAAAAGGACATATAGGAGACACACAAAGCTACACTGACATCACGTATAGGATCCCAAACTAATTGAAGAAAGTTTAATAAATTGCAATTCTGATAGGAGTATATGCATTTGAGTTAATTTTCGTAAATGTTTTTGCTTTTACACGCATGTATTAAGTGTAATAAATAATAAATGTGTATATGATGACATATGAACAGTTATAGTTAATTAATGCTGGAAGCATGGGTTTAAATACTATACAAAAGCATTTTAGTGTTACTGAAATAAAAATAAAAAAATTAAAAAATAAAAACTCCTATTCGACAGTTTATTTACATTTGCAAAATCATTAATAATTTTTATCAATAGTATTTAATGTTAACAAGGCTAGTTATTTCTAAAACTTTTATACCTATGTCATAAATTTAATTTAAAATAATGTAAAACTAACAATCTGAAATACTTTTCCATGTATTCAACGTTAGATACTTAAATTTTATCATATAAGATCATCAAAAAGCCATCCACAAATTTTCTGACTTCTTTCTAAGATATTATTTGTCGGAATATTTTAAAATATATATGGATACATAACTTAAAACATTTTAATTCTACTATAACGAGAACACTAGGGACTGAGATAATTTTCTTGTAAAATAAGGGTGCTTGCTTCTATATAGGCATAGAACCTAAAGAATATAGAACCTAGATCTAGAGGATATAGAACTAATTAAAACTATAATGTACAAAAATTAAGTAGAGAATGCTAAAAAAAATTGGTGTTTCTTCTTGAATTTTTCCATTAATGTATGCTCACGAGAAAAAAACTTAAGTACTACTATTATATTATCGTTTTCCTTTTTATTATTAAACTTGTACCAATCTTCGGCAATTGTTGTATGCATAACTTTCTCATTATCAAAGATTTATGTCAATAAAATGAACGCAACACTAAAAAGAAAGAGCAGTTCGAATATTTGATTTTAATGAACAACTAGGCTAGTACTGATGTATAGTGGGCACACGACAAGCAGGCTGTAGATAATACTATTGAATGGCTTACATAACAAAATAGATAATTAATCGTTGCTATGACCACAGTTTCTTAGTCATCTGTTATCTAACTATTGGTCCATGGCTCATCTGGTAGTGTGATCCATTGCAAGACAGGGTCCTTGTATTTTTTTTCTTTATTACTTATTTGCATACAATTTTGAAACAATTTGAACTAAAAGGATTTTTTTGAAGAGAATGAAAATCCACAAACAGTTCAAAATTTTGTTTTTATAACAATTATAATGAAATAATTTTCAAGAAATCGCTCATTCAATAAAATTTATACTTGTAGCAACAGAGTCTAATGAAAGTTTGTTTTAAAATTAAATCAGGATTTATAGAGATATACTGCATAGTAAACGAACAATTAAAAATAGTAACACAAAAATGAGTAAGTTATATTTTGTATCTAACTATTCTTAATGAAGCATTTTTAAGCGCATTAGCTAATCAAGAGAATGGTCTGATTTTTTCCGTTTTTCTTAACCCTTTTTACACTTTGAGGTGACTTCAGGGTTCATCATTACGATTTACAGAATGTTTCCAAATCCTGAAAGTTAATTTTTGTTTTATGCCTTAATATTAGATAATGTGGCAAAATAAATAAATAAATTATAATAATAATAATAATAAACGGAATTCACCTTGTAAGATTTAAGTGGTCAGAGAAATTTAATAAGCACTTAAAGTATTTTAAGTGCAAAGGGTAAACATTTCCAAGTTGCTCTGGTATTTTTGATCCGAACTAAATAAGAGATTGCGACATTAAGTTTTATAAGGGCTGCCCACTAGATTAGGGACAGGTGTGAGATAGTGTCAGAAATACAAGAGACATCAGCGCTACCATTTACGGTTATTAAGCAAGATAAAATGAGTGCAATACAGACTGCATAGAATGTACTAGCGAGTTTACGTGAGTATTTAAATCGAATGCAAAGTTAAAATGTCACGGATTCTTCAGTTACCTCTAATCATTTAATTAACAACAAGGAAGGATTTCCGGTGTTTATTTGCCTTAGGCAATGGCAGATCGCGATATTGATGTAAGTTCTTTCCCAAAATTTTCACACCATTTTTTTATAGCCCTTTATCTATGACAGATTTTGCAATTAAAAAAAATGTGCATAAAGCTCTCCGACTGCTACCGAAAATCGTTCTATTGCGTGCTGTTCAGAAAATTTAATCTAATCGCAAGCCTCTTCATGATTTTTTTTGTTTCTTTTTTTTTGCAATATGCATTTTTTTAAAAAATATATAAAAGCATTAAAACTAATATTGAAAGAGAAAAAAAAATATTTTGAAACAAAAAATATTAAAAACATTATTCGCGATCGCAATGCTCGAATGCGCTATCTGGTCTAGAGCCTCCCCCTTTCCCTCTCCTCCTTTTTTCAGTTGCTTAGGAATGAACTACGTATGTACTTTTTTTTAAAAAAGTCATCAGCGTTAAGCAACTAACGAATTAATCAGACTAAAATAAAGCAGACTAAATAGATAAATAAGGCATATAAAAATAGCATAAATAAATGAGGTCATTTTATTATTTATTAATTCATTTTTGTACTATGATTCTCCTTTTTTTTTAGAATGTTCACTATTTTGGTTTATTAATTGCCCAAAATTTTAGGAATTTTGAACACTTTTATTGCAAATATTTTTGATA